AACATCACGACACCTGTTGTGTAATACCAGGTAATACCTGCGAATTCTGCTAATTTTCCAAAACGTGATTTTGACCCTACAAATTGACCAACTATAACCAATCATAATGCCTTGTAACTGAAATAGACACACGTCATCCTTAGGGCAAGTACTGATAGTACTGTGTGCAAACCTTGAAGGGTTTTCAAAGGCAAAAAAAGAACTGATTGTAAATCTATGTGAGAAAGTCCATTGAGATGTCTTATGCTTACAAGAGATGCACCAGGAACCTCATAACAACTGTCCTTCAATACCTGGAATGATTATGGCAAGATGGAAAAAAGCTTTCTCACCAACTAAACTTTGTTATTCTAAAAATCTGGAAATGTGATCAGATTCCTAATGATTTGATAGATGCCAAACTTATTACCATATTCAAGAAAAGAGAGCTCAAATTGCAGCAGTTACTATATTGGAACTCCCATTCATAGCCGAGAATATCCTTACCTGCATTCTCCTCAATAGATTCAGGTTTCTCACTGAGTAGATTCTATCTTAGTGCTAATATAGCTTCAGATGACTTATAAGCGCAATAGAGATGATTTTTTTCTGCTTGACAGCTGCAGGAGAAGTGCTGCAGACAACACCAAAATCTTTACATGACCTTCACTGACCTGACTAAATGCCTTTGATTCAATCAACATAGAGTCTCTACAGATTATCCTAATGAGACTTGGATGCCTGCCAAAATGTATAACCTTTACCTAACTCCTTCATGATGACATAACAGCAACCATCCTAAGCAACAGCTCAAAAGCTCCTTCACTATTAGAACTGGAATCAAGCAAGGATGTATGATTATACCAACACTATTTTTCATCTATATTGCAGCTATTATGCATCTCATTGCTGATAGACTTCCATCTGCATTCAGCATCCAATATTGCATGGATAAGAATCCTTTTAATATCAACCTGTTACTTTCCATATTCAAAATAACCAACACTTCTATTACCAGTCTATAGTATTGGTAGCTGATTGGTAGCTTCTTGAGGTCCGTTGTCTGTTTTCACAATTTGTGGAATCCCACGTCTAGCAAAAATAAATTTGACCTGGTTTGCTGTTGTGCTTTTGAGCAATACAATTTCAGGATAGTGACAATAATAATCCAGCACCAATACATACTTTTTCTTGCATACATGAATAAATCAATGCCCACTTGATACTGCGGAGCTACGGCCTTCTCCATGATCATCATGGGCTCTTTTCTTTGAGCTGATCTATACTTTAAGAACATTGTGCAAGCCATCTTCTATGTATTTATTTATGTTGGGATAATATAGAGCACTCTTGCTCTCCTTTTTCATTTTTTCAGTGCCTAGATGGGTTCTGTTTAACATGTCTTTCTTTAGCACTGCTGGAATAACAAGTCATGAGCCTTTGAACAAAATGCCATTCAGTACTGACAGCTCTTACTTGAACTGAGAATAGGGGCCAGGTCTATGTTTTCCAGGCCAAGCAACACAAATAGCTGTTATCAGTTGTTGCCATGTTATCAGGCCTGGGGTGGCAGAGGCTCTGGCAGGGTGCAGGGCATTTTCTGGTAATGCAGGTCCTGTGTCTAGAGGTCCGTGATGTCAGAGCTCACCTCCCCCTCCTGTGTGGTGCACTACATGGTCTCAGTCATAGGCAAGAAAATGTCTTGGGAGCAGATGTCCAGCTGCAGTTGGGATTCTACTCTCATATCCTGAGATGATGCAGGGACCAGCTGCAACACACTGGTCTCCTCAAGGGCCAGCATCATCATCCGTGCTTTTCTCCTGTGGCCCCTGGGAATCCCTTCCTGGGCATTTGGTTGTCTTGTCATCCCAGGTCCTCACAGCACCTCTTCCTCATCCATAGGGGTCCCTGGCAACACATTCTCTCAACCCTTTGTGGTGCCATCAGTGTGCAGGGCCTCAGTGGCCATTTCCTTGGTCAGGATATGGGATAGCTCCTCATAAAAGAGAATCATCTGCCTTCAGGCCGTGGTCTTCTTGTTGGTATCATGTATGCTGTTAAAATGACTCCACATCAACTTGGGCTTGGTGCAGCACTGCATCCAGTCCCTGTTGTGGACCTGGGCCTGCATCTGCAGGCCGTATGCTGAAAGATATCTCTTTTGCTGTGCCTTTTCTGTAGCTGGCAATGGCTCTTCTCCTTGCCCAAGATGGTGATGAAATCCCTCATTTCTCTGTATTCTCAGTTGTGTCCACAGGTTTGGCTGCTGGAAAACGAAGGAGCTGGTCCATCCATGGCCCATGACATTGCCCATGACATTGCCCATAGGGCTCCCCACCCTACAGATGGATTAAGGTCTGGCTGCTAGAGTGACAGAGAGTGGAAGGGTACCTGGGAGTCAGCAGGGAAGTGCAGGTGCCTGATAGGGTGCCAGGCAAGCAGGATGGCTGGAGGACATGGAGGATTTATAAAGGTGTGGGTCCTGGCACATGCTTGGCCCTCTACCAGAAGCTGTGTGAGGCTGACCAGGGACTCAGATGCTCAGGACATTCCCATGATCTCCACCCTTCCAGGGGCTCCCAGTAATCACCCCTGGATTGTGACAACACCCTTCCACCCAGGCACTACATTTTATTGTTCTCTGTCTTTAACACTCAGAGGCAGCTGGGCATACCCTGACTGCCTGATGGAGGCTGCTGGCCACCCCTACCCACCTTTCAAATATATCCTAGGGCACCCACCCACTTGATTCTCAGCACACCCCATCCTATCACAACCCCCCCCCCTCCCCACCAGCCACTCAAAGCATGATCGGGAGGACGGAGCCATGTGGAACTGGCTATTCATGGTTAGCCCCTGCAACCCTGGAGAGAGACCCCAGGTGGGAGACTGCTTTCTCTGGGTGGGCTGAGGAAGAGCAACCAGCAATCATTTGGCCAAAATATGATCTGGCAGTGGTGGTGGGGCAGCATTCCTCATGCCACCCAGGCTGTTTGCAGACTGCTGGCTGTGCATCATCAACCCCTCCCAACCCACCCATATAGAGCTCCCCCACCCAGGGAAAGCCTGAGGAGAGGGACCATTTTGCTGTCTGCAACCAACAGGGCTCAGCCACACGCTCTCTATCCCCTTGCCTCTTTGCTGGTTCCCAACCAGCTCTGCCTCCTGGATGGTAGGCTTTCTCCCTGCAGGAAGCCCCTCCATTTGGGGGAGGTCTGGGGAGAGGGACTGACCTGCTGGCTGCAACTGGCAGGGCTCAGGCATCCCCTTGCCCCACACCCCCATGCCCTGTAGCTTGTCTTTGGCAGCTTCCAGCCATCCCTGCCAGCTGGGTGACACATTCTCTCTCCACAGATTGCTCCCTCCGCCCTACCTGGGGGAAACCCAGGGAGAAGGACCACTTTGCCAATTGGAACTTGTAGCCACCTGGCAAAATTGCACTGCAGGGGGTGGGAGTGCTCTGCCTGGCTTCCTGGGTTAGGGCACGAAAAAGAATACAGCTTTCCCACTGCTACCAGCCCAGGAGTACCCCTTCAGCTCGCCTCTTCTCAACACTTTTCTGCAGCTTGAGGAGTCTGTGAAGCACACTGTGAGGCATGTGACAGTGCCCTCTGCTCTCCTGGCTGTGACCAGTACATTGAGGCTCCGAGCCTCCAATACCAAAAGCCAAAGGTCTGTTAAGGTTAATCATGCTGTAACTTTACGCATTTTGTGTTAAGCACAGAAATTCCAGTGTGATCTGAAGTGCCATCTGATCACTTTTGTAAGCACCCAGTGTGATTAATATTAGTCAGGTCTGGCTTGGTGGTTTGCTATCTCTTGGGGGTAGAATTTTACTTAGTGGTATATGTTTATATATGTTTATATAAAATATAAAAACTACATCAGCAGAATTAAATTTTCAGCACATAGGTGTTAAGGAATATCAGAATTAAGGTGTCACTTTTGTTCCTTTCCTTTGTGCACATGCTATATGGTAGTCTTTAATTACATGATTTCATCCTCCTGTTCCATATTACTAGGGCATCATTCAGTACATGGGGCGAATGATGCTCACTGAATGAGCAGCTATTCAGTTTTTCAGTTTGTCCTCATCATTCAATATTTGTCCCTATGTCTTGTTTCCTATATACTATTAAAAGCATGCACTAAAGAAAATTATTAATTTCCTCATGGGCTTTCTTATGGCATCATCTCTATAGCATGTCAGGACTTCTTAAACATTTAATCATGTTATGTTTGCTGTGTCCTTCCATGGTAATATTTTCATTTTATAAATGGAGAACAGAGACACAGGGAAAATAGAGGTAAGAAATTCCCTATATCAGAATACCCAGTTTAAGATATAAATGGCCTAATATTTTTGGAGAACTCAATATTTTTTATAGCACTTAAGTGTTCATCAGTATTCCCTGAACGTATAAACACTTCTGCAAAGCAGGCCCAAGGTGTCTTAAACTGGGTTCCCATAAAATGAGGAATACGTAGTTAATGATCACCTGGGAAAAGAACAGTTTAAGTGATTTGCCCAGAATCATGTAAAAATGAGTTGGCAGATGATGCAGCGATAAAAATCCACGTCTGCAGGGGAGAACTAAACTGCACAAACTGCAAAGCCATCATTTCTCTCCTTTGCAGTTCTGTACTCCATTCATTGCACACTTCCCAACTTCCATAATAAATAAGGCAGTGGATGGATGGTATGCTCTCTCACTACATAGTCTTCCTGAGTTCATCTGCCTTCTTAACAGAAGGGAGCAAAAGCCCTGTGGAAAAAAGAAATGTGATCATAATTAAAGCTGCAAACATCACTGGTCCTTCATACTCCTAGAATATGGGGCTATTAGCTTTAGAAGTGCATTTGTATATTATTGCACTGAAAAAAACACACTTTCTAAGAGACTTGTGAACTAGCCACCTGTGGATTGAGAGGTAAAAATCACTTATTAAGCACCTCTGAGAAGCCTGTGGGAACTCAGTGCAAATCAGCACATAACACATATTCTCTTGTTACCTCTCAGCTCTGTTCTTGGGGAACCCTGGCACAGGACGCAGCCTGTCTGACTCTCAAAGAACTCTCCCCCCCCCCACCTCTGCCTGAACAAGAACTGATTAGAGGAAGGACTTACAGAAGACAAAGAAGATGCAGTGGAAGACTCACCTAAAGCCCTCCAGACAAGGGTGACGCAACTCCCTTGATCTCATTTGCATCTGAGATGGAACTAGATGACAGCTCATTTAATTGGGAGATAGGACAGGAATGCACCTTCATTAGCATTCAGGATGGAGAACAGAGATTCCAAGGCAAGGACCGCACTGAAGTATGGGATCAGAAAAGCAGGGGAGCACTGCATGATGGGAAATCCTTGCTCCAAATGCTAATCAGCCCACATCTACACACACCCAGCTCAGCATTTATCAGACCAATTCTAGTAATGACTTCTCTATTGGTATCCAAAACACTGAATCTTCCTATCTGTATTGTGAGCTTCCTCAAAGTAATGCCGCCTATAGCCAGCAGCGATCAATTACTATTATCCACCATATGAACCATTGTTTACCCCTAAACAAACCTAGTGTTTTCCCTTGAGCCATTGTTAGTTCCCTACAAAAACCCCTACACAAGCTCAAGTGTCTGTCTTGGTGCTTGGATCCAAAGCTGCACCAGTTCCACTCCTTTTCTGCTTGGAGTCCCTCCATTGATTATGCTGAGGACTCTGCCTGTCTGCCAGCTCCAACAGCACCTGGGAACCTCGACTGGTACAAGCTTTGCTGAGTGGTGAGACCCCAGCTCTCTCTCTGTCTCTCTCTGACTCCAGGAACCTAACTTTTACTCTCTTGCTCCAGGCACAGCTTTCTAAACTTGACTTTTGCTAATCAAACACAAGCTAGACTTCCCCAAAACCCTAACTGAAACTATGTAATATTGTAACTGTTTTGTTGTCTCTCTCTTGTATGGCTATTATTGCTGGTATCTTCATAAGTTCATAAACCTGGCAATAAATAATTTTTATGGTGAAGCTGGTTGCTATAATTTTTCTATGAACCTCACCTACTCTTTCTTCCCCTCGACCTCCTCATTTGCTCTGCAGCAATGCTTCTTTTACCTAGGCTAAAGATCCCCATCATGACCAAAACCACAGTGGGGTCTGCTCATCAAGGGGGTTACTGTTAGGACAGTTAGGGCAAAAGATTGGGACGTGTTGAGTCTGAGACACATAAGGGGATAAGCTTGTACAGGCTGATTGACCCAGTTTGGCTCAGGCATGCCCTAATGAACTGAATGCTGGCTCATGAGGGTGTCAACTGGACACCCAGCTGGATTCAGAGTTATTCTGTTTACCTGTGTGCTTGTGTCTGACTGCATTTTGTTGTTACCTTAATGAACTGATTCCTGGCATATGGGGATGTCAGCCTGTCCATGCTGATCAACCTGGCTGGGTCAGGCATGTCACTTTAATGTGTGTGTGTGTGTGTGTGTGTGTATCTCAGATGTGGTGGTTGGAGGAACCCAGCCCCATTGAAACTGAGTCCTTCAAGATAGCTCCATCAGGGGTGAGGACTTGCAGAAGGGAGAGATACAGCTCCATATAGAAACACAAGCAGCACATTGATAGAATTACAGAGACCCCCAGAAATGTAGTCCTAATAAATGAGCACACCCAAAGTGACGGGCAAATCTGGTAACACTCTATAGAAACTGCTATTTAAAAATTTGGTAGCTGAATGCTGCAATGTATACTTTTTAATGGCTATAAGTTGTAGCTCTCTAGAAAACTTTAAAGGAAAATCTTCAGGTCAGAAAACTGTTAACATCTGGATCCAAAAGAAAAAGAAGGAACTTCTTGTCTAATGCCAATTATTGAAAACTAAATAAACAGAAAACCTTTTTGGCAACCTCTGCTTCTTTGAGTGTTTAGGAACAGTGGGGGGATCCACATTTCTGCAAGAAACCTTTACTCTGAGGCACTGATTGGAAAAGCTTGATCAGTTTTTCCAGTTGTTTCTTTCACCCATTTTTTTTTACATTGTGCCACAACCAGTTAGCCCTCTTCCATATCCAGTATACTACACAGCTGTTTCACTGGTGCAGCAGCAGCTTAGCACAGCAGAAGCATGCAGGCCATAAACTTCTTTAAGGGCATGTGTACAGCGATGTTGTTTCTGCTCCATGCTTTAGTAATTCCTTTTGGAAGTACTAAAGCATGGTGCAGTAACTGCCCATACTGCACCATGCACATGGCACACAGTTAGTTTTAGTCACTACTTCACCGTAGTGGTGTGCTAAAATGGGGGTACGGGGGATGACACTACAGCAAAGTAGCTGCTGGTCACGTGTAGACTCACATGATTGCTACATTGTTGTAGTGCATTGTACAGTGATGTAGCGTGTTGCTACGGTAACTTAGGATGACAGATAGACATGCCCTTAGTTGCTCAGTTGCACTGGGCTAATTAGATGAGTTGAAGATGGTGATATGAATCTTCTCTGTAATTAAAATACCCAAACACATACCTCTTCCTGAATCATATTGATATCCAACTAGTGTTATATGGTCACAAATGCCAAGGCAGGAGGAACAAATTGTTTTTAGAATTCAGTAGGTCTTAAAAAAACACCCCTGATTTTTTCTGAAAGTGTCTTTTTTGCCATCCTATTAATATTTAATGATGGTATATCAAGTGTGAGCTTGATGTGAGTTTTCTGTTTGTTTGCTATGATTTGTTTTGGGGAAAATTATCTAATTTATTTTTGTTTTCTTTCAGTACTCTAGTATTTTGGGGGTATGTGGCTGTCAGTAGTATTTGTTTGTTTTGTTTTTTGCAAGAGTAAATTTCCTGAGTCGTGCCAGTGACTATTTACTACCGGCTAATAATCATGTCTGATTTAGAAAAGAAAGGTTTCAAATGCTGTAAATGATTGCCTCTGTAAATGGAGAATGGTTATAAGATGTCTTTGCCAATGGTGTAATAATTTGACGGGGCTGTGTTATCCTTTTAAATTAGGTTTTATTGATGTTTTAGCATTTTATGACAATACAGTGTCTTCGCATAGATAAGAGACTAATGCTATTTAGCTGTCCATTTCTATAAACATTTGAAACGGCTCAGCTCCAGACCAAGGAAGGACTTGGAAAGGGACTTCTGAATACCTGTTTATAGGCTAGGGACATAAACCCAATATTTCTTCTGGTCACAAATTGCTCAGCTATATATTCTGTTTTGGGGGTTTTTTTCTATTCCATTCAGTGTAGTCCTATATTTCCCTCATTGCCATATATGCAAGCACTTCCCGGTAGTTCTTTAACCAGTTTAACTATTACTTTTCAAGTGGCATGCATTCCATTTCATGCTTTCCATAGGAGAGAAAACAGTATGCAGTGTGTTCAGTAGTATAACTAGGGCACCAGCTCTGGGAATGGACTATGAGGAAGCACCAGAATTGCGTTCTTCATCCTCTCCCCAAGAGTCTTTGCCTAATATAGATGTATGGTCTGCAGGGAGCAAACAGTGCACCAGGGTTGGCTCCCAGGGAGCTCAGCCACAGGTCTGCTGCTATCAGAGCAGAGCTCAGGCTGCTACAGCAGTTGCAGCAGTAACTTAAGATGGTAATCCTTCTCCTCTCCTCCCCTGCCTCCCATGGTTGGCATATCCCTGCATGGTCCTGTCTCCCCCCACCACCAAACGTGGTCAATATGCTCACTATGACTTTGTGTGTGTTTTGTTTTTTACTATACTGTGTGTGTTTCTGAAGGCAGATCAAAGTAATACACTTGTCCACTTTGCACTTGCAGTGGAAGGTAATGAAGTTTGTAATGATCCTTGGTTTTTTATGGGAGTTTATTCCTTACATGCAACATTTTGCTCTTTGAATTTTATTAGTGTAGTAATGAGTTCTTCTATTTACCAAGTTCTCACTGAACTTTAATCCAAACCTCTAAAGTGTGTGCAGCTCCTTTGTCATCTGTGTATTTATCAATATTCTTGTATGCAAGTAAATAATAAAAATGATAAACAGCACTGGAACCAGAACAGACCCTTATAGGCATTCCTAGGGTCTGTCATTTTATAGATACCTTTGCATTTGGTTACTCACCTAATAATGTATCTACTTGATAATTTCATCTAGCTCATATTTCATCCGCTTAATTATGAGAATGGTATTTGGGGTTGTGTTAAAAGCCTTACTGAAGTCCCAGTATATGTACACTGCATTCTCCTTAGCCCCAAAGCCAATTATCTTGTCAGAAAAGGAAATTAAGTTGGTTCTTAACAAATACATGTAGGCTGCCACTGATTCACCCCTTCATCCTCTAGATATTTAGAAACTGAATGTTTTATAATTTTCTGTAATAATTTTCCAGCTATTGAAGTCTGGCTGACCAGTCTCTTATTACCCAGGTCCTCCTTCCCCCTGCCTCTCCCCAGTTTTTGTTAAAGAAGAATGCTGTGTTATTTCTTCTCCAGACATCTGGGTCTTCACCTGTCGTCCATGAGTTCACAAATGTTATTGCCAGTGACTTTGAGATTTTTTCAGCTTGTTTCTTCAGCACCCTGGAGTGAATTTTTTCAGGCTCTGCTGATTTAAATACATTCAGATTAGTCAAATGTTTAAATGTTTTCTAACATGTTGCTTACATATAATGATCTGTATCATTGTCCCTGCTTTGTTTATATGAATGCTTGGTTTGGTGGGTTTTTTTGTTTGTTTTGTTTTTATGAAGACTGAAACACAGTAAGTGTTGAATACTTCTGCCTGGAAGATTTTCCGTTCATCCTGCTTGCTTTTCTTTGCATTGGTACATAGATGTCAGAGATACCTTGCACATAGACTTTGTTAGATGGAACCCATTCCTATGGTGATTGGCTTTCACAAGACGTTTATCTGGTTCCACGTGCATTTCATGTATTCTGGTTCTTTCCCTTTTCCTGGAAACCACATGTAACCAAATATCTTCCCTATTTCTTTAATCTTTTCTGCTTTCATCAGGCTATGCCTGTAGTAACAATTCATGGCTCCTAGTCAGGAAGTCTTCATATTCCCTGA